GGGGGGATTTTGAGATGAACTCCAACACTATCTATTTGTTGTATTTTATTTCAATCTCTTTTCTGTTTATTGAATGTATATCTTTCTACTTTCCTTTCATTGTATAACTCTAACTGTATATATCTCACAATACATGACCAATGAAATATACAATTCAACCCAACTCTTTTAGGTAGCCAATATGTATGCTTTTGTTTTTCTAAAAATCAAGACAAAAACAATTGACCAATTAAAGGGGCATTGTACAATGTGAATTGTTTTTCTTGCTGTTAATTCTATAAATAAATCAAAACCATCTTCTTTGAAAACAGATTGTCTCTCAAAACAAAAACACAAGCAACATGTTCTTGGTTGTGTATGTAGTCCTTGTTTTCAAAATTGAAACAAAAAACATATTCTTGATTCTGGTTTCAAAAACATGTTTTCATCTAATTATTCAACATCTGTTCCATAAATAATATAATTTCTATACTAGAAAAGTTGTTTTTGTTTTAAAAATCAATATCAGGCATTCTCCAACATGAATGATTTTGTTTTCATTTGTTTTTGAAATCATCACATCAGCAAAAAAAAAAAAAAAACATGTACTTGAATTCTATTCTTGTTTTAAAAGGCAAAAAGAAAAGACACATTCACAATCAAGAACATGTTTGTTGTATTCTTGTTTTGAAAAACAATATATTTTCAAACGAGATGACTTTGATTTGTTTTTGGGATTGACAATAAGCAAAACAATTAACGTTGTAGAACATCCCAGAGCCTGTCTTATTTGAGCCCAAATCTACTATTCATTACGCTTAATGTAAAAGGCTACTTCATCTATCACAAGTATAGGCATAAAACGGGCCAGGCTGCCCATGGGCCGGCATTGCCTAGCATGACATGGACGATGTTTGAGGCCCATGGGTTGTACCGCCTTTGGCCCATATGGGTCTATGCCAGCATGGCCCACATGCTTGGCATGGCACAGCCCAGTCTATTTTCCACGGGCCTGGGCCCATGCTGGGCCCCTCCTTGATCTATCAGGCCTTGGAAGGCCAAGGCCCACAATACACCTATAATCACAAGTTAACATGCTAGTATTTTGTGTGGATTGTATGTATAAGGAATATTGGCATATTTACTCGTGATTGGTTACGTAGGTTTTTAAGCATAATGTGACGAGCAGGAGATTCCCATTGATCTTATTGGGAGTGAGTCACGATGCACTGAAAGAGGTAGATTTGATTTAAGACGGTTTTGGAAACCGGACCACATCTGACGGTTAGACTGGTTGACCCGGGAACTAATTATGGGTTCAAATCTGGTTTTAAACCCAAAAACCATTCGACCCAAGTTTGGATCAGACGTTGTAACCATTTGACCCGAGTATCGGTGACTAAAACAGTTCTATTTCTGATCCTATTTTCAAAACCATGACGTAAGAGAAAGAAGGTACAAAGAATGATCTAATCAAAATAATATAATATAATTTATTATCACTTGTAAGATTATAAACCTTAATCATCGTGATTGCATATATCTATCTTTCCATAATTTTTTTCTTTATAAACCATCCATCTATAATTATTTTAATATTTAAAAAGAAAAATAAAGTGGACTACTTAAAATTAACTTTGATCTTCTATTGGCTATTTGACACATGGTTTTCAAAATCGGACCGGATCAGATGGTTTTTAAAATCGGTTAGGTGATTGGTTTCGTTTCTTCAAAAACCGAATTTTCCCCCAAAACCGTTGATTTTAATCAATAAACCGTTGAATCGGGCAATTAACCATTCAAACCGTTTGAACAATTTTAATCATTTTTTATTTTTTTTATTTTTTTTATTCGAGCATTCGATTTGAACAATCAAACCGTTCGACCCGATAACTAGACCACTGACCGGTTCGGTTTAGTCTCCTCCAGATCGGTTTTAAAAACCATGATTTGACATGTAAAATGGACGAAAGCAAGCTCGAGATAAATTACCTAGTCTGTCTCTGTCGTATTTTTTTTTGTGATGGGACTACACAATAGGGAAGCTTATCTCCTATGCCCATAAAAAATGGAATCATTTTGATTTTGGAATTTGGATTTTGGATTTTGGAAGGAGCTTTCTTCTTTCCTTGTACTAGATCAATCAAGTGATAATGTTGAAGAATGGGTAAGAATTGAGAACGCTAAATGATGAGGGTGGATTTGGCTCTCCACTGTCATCATGACGCATGACATTTTAGAATAGCTAGATGACTAAAGGGATGAGAGATCCATCCCATGGACGCCTAAAGATTGCGGAATAAGGGGCGAATTTCAAAAATTTTTCTCTCCCTTCAACTGGGAATCATATTCCCTATTTAGAAAATCATATTTTCAAGGATCATTCTTGAACCTTAAACTGAACCAAATCTGAACCAAAAGGAGTAGGTGAGAATTATACCTGATACGGAGAAGTAGAATCTCCCAACGAAGGTGTTCACGCCCAAGGAAGGATCCAAAGACTGCTCCCACTGAAGATGGCGCAATGCAGGATGGAGCAGAATCAACAGTGTTCTTCTCCAAGAACTCTGTCATTCGCAAGAATCAGCAAGATGGTACGTGAGCACAGCTTCCTTTCAATCMTTTCTCAAAGAACTGATGTCAAGATCCAATATTGACTTCTCCCACAATTGGAGATCGAACTGGCAAACAGGGCAGCAAGAACAGGGAGGCGGCAAGAGAGTATTCGCAGGGAGCAAAGTTCTCTCTTCTTGATTTCAGCACTAGAGAAAATCTGTTGTGTGTCTAAAAGCTGCCGCCCCCTTCTTCTTTTGTATTCTTAAAGGGATCAGCTCCTAATCAGATTAGGAGTTGCTAATCCAAATCATATTTGGGTTASAAGTCCCTTTAAGTGATAAGGGATAATCCTTATCTTATCTG